CCTTTGCATTGATGCAAGACGAAAGGTGACCTTGCAATGATAGAGACCTTTTTTTAACACCTCGGACAATTATTCACGTCTCTATCATTGCAAGCTCACCTTTCGTCTCGCTTCGATACAAAGGCACGGCTAAATTTCAAGATCTATCCGGGGACTGTGAAGGAGACTAGCGATTGAAGGAAACCACGGAAGTCGTGACAATCGGAGTAAAAGCTAGTTTTCTGCAAACCTGGATAGTGACTTTTCTAAACTTATATTACATAAATCACGTGTTATTTACCAATGAAGTGTCCTTCCCATGTCCATGATCTGACGGTACAATCTATCGATGATGTTAAAATAACGCCGTACGCTTCTACAAGCTCGACCCTGTGGGACAACACAAAGTATTTATATTATTTATTAATAGTTTTCAACGAATGCAGGATACTAGTCCGGAACTGAACCCATTTTTCTATTAACTGATTAATTTATTTCTCAAAAATAAAAGGTAATATCGCGCGCGCACGAAACACAATTCTTACCAGTCTATTTGCGCTACTCGGTTCGTTTCCGCCGCGCGCGCATCGATAAAAGTGGGTCCAGCTCTGGACTACAAGGATACATATACAACTTTAATACAATCAAAATATTATTTGAATGAATTTATTAAATTTAAAAACTTACCCAGTTATTGCTTGTACGTGAGCTCGCCAGCCGCTAAATCCTTTGAAAGACAAAACGAGCATTACTGAAGAGCTATTCCAGGAGAAAAGTGATGCTCGTACTTCATACCACAATGCTTTGCAAATCTACAATGTATCTATTCTCTTTCGAGACATGATGGAGAACGAAAAGGGACAGGAAGAGGAGAAAAGTAGGGAGGAATGGTTTTCTGTCCCGAACCGAAACGTAGAATGTTTTATGCTGCCAAATATTTTAAAGCAGTATTGCTTTTATGGAATGAGATGTATGGGTAGTTTGAATCAAACCAACCCAAAATTAATCCTATACAGCCGAGACTACAATAGTAGATCTTGTATTTAGGGATAAAGTGAAATACAAAAGCTGGTGCGCTAGACAGTGCGCTAAGTTTGAAGAAACGTCTTTCAAAAAACAGGTTTTTTAATAGCAATAGATAATCAAAATCTTTTTTCTATTTCTCGACTTACGTTCAGGCGGTTTTTTGGTTTTGCCATTCATGCAATAATCTTCGATGTTCCATACATACACGAATCCTGCAAATATGATATGAAAATGGTGAGAAGGTTTCCCTATAATCTTATTCTCTAATTYCATTACTAGTGCTGCTTCATGACCATTAAATGGGGACACGGAAAACACATATATGTAACTAGATGTCATTCCGCATGTAAAAAATCACATAAATAAACATCCTTGTAACCAATAACAGCGTTATGGAATTGCACTGATTCCTACGACACGGGAMGTCACGCYCGGCAGGCCGGCACGATACGGCAGTAAACGTTTCACMGTCATACTAAATCTTCCTTATATGGTTAGTAAGATCACTAATGAATACGCTGCCATTTGTGTTTATCATTCAACATACCAGCTGAATCTGCTGTCACCACTCTTTTATTTTCTGAATCTGTTGCCATGGTACACATACCGTACTGCGACTAATCACGAGTCAACAATAAAACATTTATTAGTGAACGCTTGAGAGGAACTATTAGGATATAGAGGAGCAAATATACTAGAGATCAACAACAAATTTGAGGGGAGGGGGGAGGGGGGTTGGAGTTGGGAGGCGGGAAGTTGGAGTTGGAGTTGGGAGGACTATGCCAATTTGTGGATGAGTCTGCTGATCAATACATTTCAAAAGCCAGCAATAAAAATTCCTGGGGGAAGGGTGACCTTCTGCGTTCTATATTCCACCTACCGGTTTAAAAGCAGAGTACAGAGTCCCCCCTGAGTACACATTCCAGAAATGGACATATCCTGAATAAAAGTTAATAACCATTAGTATATTTCAAGGTAATCTTACACGCTACGATTGGTCAATTTGAGGTCCATAACTGACAGACGGACCTCGCACTCGATTAACAAGAAACACTTATTTACCCAGAGTCATTAATCGTCGACATGTTCAAGGAGTCGAACGGTTTCCCTCCGTGATTGCGAAATCGGTACAAATAGGTGCAATGTAAATGAAAAAGTATTAAATTTTACCCTGTGGACCGCTGGCAACAAGTGTCGCTGACTCCTTGTTCGAGGATCTCTTGGTAAGAAAGACCAGGCTGTCAATAGCATTGCCTCCATCCACTAAAATGGCGATAGAAAAATAAGAACTAGGAAAGTGTTGGAAAGAGGAGGCTGCAACGTTGCCTTCGCCAAATCGAAGTTTTTAGCTTTAGTAAGATAGTTTTTTTTAATACATACATGATGATAAATCGTCTTCATTTCCTCTACACTTGTGGGGAGAATGGATGTGGCAGAAGATGTGTCCCGAAATACGATTCCAAATTATTATCTAATGAAACAACAAGCAAAAATAATTTAAGATTTAATCAAACAATCTCTGCGCTTTGATTGTCTTGTTTTATAGTCATGTAGCAGGTTAACATGCTGCAAACGGTTACCCTTCTCTCCCTTCCCCCCCCCTCC